TGCTGTGGGATGACACGAAAGTAGATACAACATTGGCATATGTGGAAACTCTGGTTCAAACCCCACTAGGGACAGCGATTCCATGTAGGGCCGGACTGCACACCCAAAGTGTAAATTTGGGGCAACAGTGGACAACCCTGATGAACTGATCGAGACAGTGCAAAAGCGTGTGACAGCATCACAGCACTGGTGGAGTGATACAGCAGGTTAATCCAGCAGCAGAAGTTGGGTTTGAATCCAGTGGCCAGCAGGACAGCAGCAAGGTAACGATCTGAAACGAGCCACTTTTCGCAGCAATATCAGTATCTAGCATTGACATGAACAAGGTCCACTTACACATCCAGAGTACACTTTACCAGCACAGAAACACCTCTGGCCAGTCAGTCCCCAAATGCTGAATAGATGACAGTCATTAGACAGCACACAGGCATTAACATTGGAAACAAAGTGCGTCTCCTGGATCGCAGAGACATCCATACCATACGATAAGAGGTAACAGAGAAGGGGGGAAGCTTTACCTCGATCCCTCAAGCTATTCGCATTCAGGCTGGCTATCTTAATTGACATGATTTAGGACTGAAAAAGAGATAATCAAAATACCCTATTCACATACCGGATGGAAATCTGCTGCTGTAAGGACCCCGATGTATTGTCCTAGGCTCCCTGTGCCCAATTCCGACATCATCTGACCATCTAAAACAATACTGCCAATGATCATGTGACATGTTAGCTTTACTGCTCTATATAATGAGAGGTAGACCCTCCCTGCACAAAATTCAGAGGTCTTTTTTAGAGTGGACATTCACATCACCAACATTCATAGATCTGGGAAAGCGTCCTTTGCCTCTCCCAAGTGGTACCATACTTTTAGCAACCTCCCAGTGTCCCTTATAAATGTAATAACTTCCGGGGCTTGGGAGAAATTATGGGGGTCCTCTATCAACTTTCCATCGAGACAGAGGTGAGTTTAAATAAAGAACCGAGGAGGGATGTTTTTGGGGTGGACAAGTCTTTCTCCAATTCTTTTTGTTCACCTTGCAAATGTCCACTACTCCGGCAAAATAGTCTTCTTTCTCTTCTCCCTGGCAGGATGGGGTAGGGAAGAAGTGAATGTGGGAGTGGGTGTAGAAGCTGAATCAAAGAATGATGTGGAGGGAGTGGGGGACGGAGCCTGTATTGGTGAAGGGGGAAGGCTCCTTGATCTGAAACTATTTATGTCTATTTCAGATGGGGCTGCAGGGACAGATTGGGACCTAGATCTTTCCAAAACCTTTTCCTTCCTGCCTCTTTCATTCCGCTTCTCCTTCTTTGTGTTTATCTCCTCCTCTTGCTCATCCCTGTCCCTCTTCAAAGACAAAGACCGTGGTGGGGGCATTACATTGCTTCTTATTTTTTTTCCTTTTTGGGGACATTTGTTTCTGCTGTTGTTTTTGTTGCTGGTCTTTTTTTTTAGCTTCAGGCTGTTCTATTTGCCGCTCCTCGTTTTCGTGATGTTGCCCTTTTGGGGGCTGAGACAGACTGCTGCTGCTGCTTTTCCGCCTGCTTCTTGGGAGGTGATTGCTGTGGGGACTCCTAGTAGGGAGGGCTTGGCCTTTTCAGCCCTTCTTCCCTCCATCATGAACCTCACCGGGCAATGCCACTGATTCCACTGCTGCTGCTGCTTGGCTGGGCTGAGACACCGCCTTCTTGCTGGGACATGCCTCTTCCATATGTCCCATTACATTGCACAACCAAGGGTAGAAGTTTTTTGAAAGGAAGAATTGAGGTTTTGTTAGCAAAGATGTTGGAGTGTCACTTGTAGTCACAGAAGAGACAGTCCTCTTGGGTATTTCTGAGGATTTCTAATATTTTGAAGGTGATATTACAAAGGTTTGACAGCATTTTTCTGAGGATGAGCAGATATTATAATATAATATTCACATGGTATATTGATCATATAAAAATAACCTGAAAATTGTTCAAGCGTTGACTTGCATAATAAAATCTGAAATCAGATGTGGGTCAGGTTTCAGCTTATTACCCACTGACTTTATCACTACTCCACTTAACTTTAGTAATTTTCTGCATTAAAAACTTATTTCTGGTAGTAGAGAAATAATTGATTAAACATCAAATTTTGCAATTTTTTAAACCTAACATTTGTTAGTGCATTTGTATTCAGCCTATATGTTGTATAATTGTACAGTGATGATAAGGAAAAAAGAAGATTTTTAGTAGAATGAATGAATGAAAACATTATTGACAAACAGCATGGTGTCCTATAATTATTCATAATGATGCTATAAATTATTTTATGAAAAAATAAAAAATACACACCTTTGCCCTTTTGCACTACCTAAAGTGAAAATATTTCCAAGTAATGAATTGTTTGGATGGGACTTTTTTTGATAAGCCTTGTTTCTGAGCCTGATTATGTTGACGTCTCTGGTTCAGGCTAATAAAAAATAGGAATGTTCTGGAGAAAAAGCATTGAAAAGAGAGCTCTTCCTCTAAATTATTTTCAACACTTGAAAGAACAGAATTTGAAACTTGCAAAAATTTTGAAAGATAGCTTAGAAGCCTACCAGTACAAATATAAAGGAAGAGGCCACCATCTGGTTTAATTGCTATTCATTCATGATATGACTGAGTGGATAATTAGAACAGATGGGGGTCAACAGATCAATTAACATTTCAGCAGGAAGAGGATGCTGGATTCCAAAATAACACCTGACCAGCCAACAACTCTAGGCAATAAACAAGAACTTAATACAGACAATTTTGAACATGTGAAACAAACTGGCCACATTTTCCATGATGATACAAATAAATTTGCTCACTGCACCCATAATTCTTTGAGGCTCTATCAACTGCTACAAGTTTATCACAAACAAACATTCACTTGGCAACTCATTCAACTCAATAGATGCTTCCATTATTACATTAACATATCAGGTTAGAAAATTAACAACACTTTGTGAACTTTGCTGTCACTCTCTATTAAGGATATTTTTGGTTTTAGCAACTCATATAAGTTCCTACTTATACCTAATATTTTGAGCAAGTCACTACACTCTTATTCATTTTTTTTTTTATAAATTATTGTAAATAAACAAACTCTTTCTGTTTCAGTTTCACACTGAGTAAGAGAATTTTTTTATTGTGCATCTAAACAGATAATTGATATTTTTTGGTACACAGGAAAATCCTCATAATGATCTTCTAATACAAAGACCAAAAATTATTTGTAATGTTGGTTATAGCCTTGTATTGGATTAAACCTAAACTTAATAACCCTCCTCAATGGTCCTTACAGAGAGTAGAAGTTTATCCCTTGTTTCCTGTTTAGGATTAGGTTTTCAGTTCCTTCTAAAGTCTACTTCAACTATATTTCTAGCATCTCCATCTGAACTCTGAAATTTTATTTACTAATTATTATTTTTTTTTAGGAGTAGATAGGTCCACCTATCACCCAATTTACATTCCTCCTTGGTCTTTTGAACAGGAGTATAGGTTTATCCTTTGTTCCCTGTTTGGGATCAGGCTTACAGTTCCTTCTAAAAATTTTTCATTCTCTTTCACCCAGTAGCTACTTGCATCTTAGTGGCATTGTTGTCTTGCTTGGGGTGAATTGATTAAAACAAAAATACCTATTTATAATTTTTTACAAAAATAAATTGTAGCTTTAATATCAACAGTCACCGGTGGGCCTCTAGTGGCCCGCCAGTGATAACATTGCTGAGACAAACACACCGGTGGTCCAACAGCAGAATACCAGCTGTAAAAACCTGTGGCATGCCACCTAGTGGCAGATTGGTGGCTTGATGTAGGGGTGTTTAAAAAATATTTATTAAAAGAAGAAAGTTACCAACACATTAAATAATAAATTGCTAAAAAGGTTACTAACACGTTAAATAAAAAACTTCTAAAAGGAAGGTTGATGGTTTATAAAAAAGATACATGCATAAAATTTACTTTTCAAAAATTTGTAAAAACAAAAAAAATCAGGCTGAAATTTGATGGTCCTGAAACTTACCAAAATAAAGTTTGTGAACAGGCATGGTTTAAAGAGATACATTTTGTGATTTCTTAACCAGTGGAAAAAAACAAGTTACAACACCATGGCATCAGATTTCTAATTCAATTCAGAGCTGATTTGTAGCTATTTAGGAAGTCTAGTTTGTCTGACAGACAGAAGATTTCAGCATTCACAAGGAAGACATTGAGTACTGGTCCTGGGATCAGAAGAAAAGAAAAACTAATACCTGCCATCAGCACTGCCAATGATGAAAGAAAAAAGCTGTAACAAAAAAAAAAAAAAAAAAAATAATAGCAGAAAGGAGAAAATTCTACAAATTTAGAGAGATATATGATTATCCTTTGATAGTTGTTTGTGAAAGTTTATCACAAAATTAGAGGTATTAACCTTGATTTTGAACTTTTTATGAAAATACAAAAAATATTTCTTTAGTTAATTGAATTATTTTTGGGAAGGTTTGGGGTGAATTTCAGCATGTTCACACTTGATATTGGATACTTTTTTTCAGAACTAACTATAACATGTGAGAATGGTGTAGCTTAGGAAGCTTTATTCAGATTAGATTAGTTTAGTACAAAAATAGATACTATTTAAAGTGGTGTAGACTAAGAGAGATCATTAGTCAAGGGAGATAATCTCCAACAAGAAGTAACTTTATGGTTACCTACTACAATAAAATTTTCAGGGATTTCTCTTTATATAACTCAAACTGTAAAAAAAAAAAAAAAAAAAAAATCAACCCACAAATTAAAAGTACACACTACATATCAAAAGGGAGTGATAAAAAAATATTTCCATAAAAATTATTCATTATATATTCATTACTGAATAAGTGCTTAAAATTTCCATTAAATTGAATAATTTCGTTTACTTTTTGCAAATTTTTAAATGCAAAGAAAGAATTGGAAGTCACCTTTGTTAATTTCAAGTTCTCAACCATGATAGCCCACGTCCTGAAGGGACATGATGTATTCTTTTGATTATGGGTATGTCCAATAAGTCATTAAAAAAATGCCCTGATGAAAAACAATTTTTTTATCATCTAAATGTTTGTGTTATTAAGAGGAAAGACCAAGGTATTTTTTGAATATTTAAAAAAATTTTTTAATCCTTTCTAGCACATCTGAAATTTTAGCTAAAAAAAAAAAAAGTCAATGATTTATATTATTCAAAGTCTTCTGCATTTAATCACAAAATTACACAAAGTCGAATTTTTGAGTTTTCATGAAATATTTTTTTACATCTGTTACCCTAAGGGGGGTAACAGATGTAAAAAAATATTTTACCATGACTTTCTAAAAAACTTAACTCATTTCTAAATAAGTTCTGAAAGTTTCATTAAAATCCGACGACTATTTGATTTTTGCAAGAATTTCCAAAATGTGTTTTCAAATGAAAAAAGCGCTAAAAAAACTAATGCTAAAAATATTACGCGACCGCTGACGTAAAAAAAAAAACAAGATTTTCAACCAAAATTTCGAATGTACTAGACAGGAATAAAAAAATTACAAAAAAAAAATAAAAAATACTTTGGTCTTTCTTCTTAGTAATAACAAACTTTTTCACGATAAAACTTTGTTTTTATTAAGTTTGGGACCTTTTTCGTCATGCTATGCTGTTTTTTGGCAAATTATTGAACATTGAAGAATAGAAGTCATTCTGACAGGAAGTATGCCTATTGTTTAGTTTATAGGAACCTGGAAATATGACTTCCAAGTGTAACCAATTAAAAATAAAATCACAATCTTAACTGAAACTCCAATGTTTTTTTTGAAGTAATAGTTTCGTGTAAATCAACAGTTCATTTTTAAAATAAAATGTCTCTGCTTAATAATAGCGACTTCTTAACTTTACAATCGGAATTCCTATATTTCAAATTTTCGATTTTTTGTTTTTGAAAGATATTGTCATAATTTTGAAATATCCGTTGTTACTTGTTTGTGTTTTTTTGTTACCCAAACGTTTTAAACAAAAAAAATTTACAGATAAATTGAAAGTGTTGTTTTGAGGAAAATATGGAGATATAGCCTTTTTAATTTAAAAATTAAAATCATTTTGTAACAAAAGGTAAATTTTTGTAGTGTTATTCAAAATTTAAATTTTAAAAGGGATGGTTCTTCAATAAAGAATCTTCAATATTTTATAATACATTTTTTAAATCAATCAATAGCTGTCTAACGTGTTTATTTTTAACTTTTAAGGTGAAATGAACATCGTGATTATTTTACTTAGTTTTGTTAAAAAATAGTTACCAGCAGAAAGCCTTACAGTGGCTTTTCTAATTGAATGGCTAATTGTTGACTGAAAACGTTAAAGCCAAAATTTGAATTTTTGATGGATTTTGAATTTTCAAAAAAATGCCAATTACCAACCAAATGAAGCGATCAGGTACTAACTAAAAAAATAAATTATAAATTATTCATTTTCGAATCAAAGAAAATAAATTTTAATTTTTTTTGACAAGTTAGAAAAGATTTATTTTGAACCCTTCGTTATCATAGTTAATTAGTAATTTGCCTTATTCATTCTTTTTTTTTTTTTTTTAGGTACTAAGAAAAACGGAAGTACTGAAAAAGCTCTTAGAGTGATTACGTACCGTTATTAGTTCTGTTGTTGTCCACTAGGTGGAAGGCAGACTGGATGGAAACATGGATGCTGAAACAGCGCATAAGACATGGGTTTTACAAAATAATGTTGAAACTGTTAGTAGTGTCGATGAAATATACCGATATGACAAAAAGCAACAACAAGATATTCTTACCGCAAAGCCATGGGAAAAAAAGTAAGTAGGAAGATAACAATTAGAAAAGAATTGTTTCTGTGCTGTGTAGTCTACTGAAGCCGAGTTTTCATTTTGACTGAGTGAAAATTAAAATATTCTAACATTCCAAATAAGAATGACTAAAAGAAATTACATATTTTTTCATGTGGCTAAATAAAAGTGCATGCTCGTCATCTTTTAGCTTTATTTAAGTGAACAAGCCTCGAGAATTGAGAAAACGTATTTTTTTTTAATTTTATCGTCATTTATTTATTTTATGCGATTAGAATTCAGTGTTTTGACGTTAAAATATTTTAGAATTTTACTTTTATAACGAGGAATAAAAGTTAGTTCTGTTTACTAGAGGAAAAAATAAAAACTTTAACGCGGAAAATTAATTTTTGGCAGTTCTATCCCCCCATTTTTTTTTTTTTTTTTTGTATATGGCCAGATATAACTTGGACCTTTTACCTTTCCTTAGTGTGGTGTTATTTATTTAGCATTTTTCATTTTACTCCGTAATATTCTTGTTTGCTGATGAGCCAAATTTATACTAAGTAAACTTAAACAATAAAATAAATATTTAAAATATGTGCTTTACACTGTGTGTGTGTATATATATATATATATATAAACTTTACACTCGGAGGTTAAAAATGTGTGGTCTGAAGAAGCATAAAATTGCCAGTCATGCAGTGTTGATTAGGGGAAAGTAATATGGACAATGCCCAGTTTCACGCGGTTTTTTAAGCAATCGCTAAAACCACGCTCAGTTCCTCACATTGAGCATGAATATAGCAAATTTTAAATGTTAAATCTTTAGCGACTTAAGTATGAAACATTAATTATAAATTTGTCATCGCATTTGCAAATTATATTAGTCATGTAAAAAAAATATATTGCTGAAATTTTTAATTGCAATTTAAAACTAAATTGCAAATAGGTACCTCCATGAGATCGCTAAAAAATAGCATAGCATGATGAAAAAGACGCCAAACTTGACGAAAACAAAATTTTATCGTCTAAATGTTTGTTATTATTAAGAGGAAATATCAAAATATTTTGGGGGTATTTTTTTTTTTTTTTTTTAATTTTTTTACATTTTTAATCGTTCCTAGCAAGTCAGAAATTTTCGTTAAAAATCTTTTTTTTTTTTTTTTTTTTTGTTTTTTTTTATCATCAAAATTGGCAGATAATCGATCAAGGGAACATTTTTTTTTTCTATTTTATAAAAAAATGAAAGTCTCAGTTTAAAATTCTTTTAAAAATCAATTATTATTTTTTCAAAATTTGTTTTAAGAAAATCAGAAATGTTTATTTAAAATATTTTGAACCAAGCTTAGCTTTTGCGCCGAAAAATTTTAGTTTGAAAATAAAGACAAAGCAGGTCATAACATTTCGCATCACTTGACAGGTGACGAAAGACATTTTCATGACATTTTGTTTGATAGCTTACGTGAGGATAATTCCTTCTACGGAAGGAGAGAAGGGAAGTTATTTAGATTTACGTGAACAAATTATTTACCCCATTATTTTTAAGGAAAACTTTCAGCGCTCTAATTTTTTTTTTTTTTGTACTTAGCTTTCACCTTTATGTTTACGATGCTTTATGGAAAATATATTATAAAGAAATTAAAATAGGACTGTTAAGAGTGAGATTAAATTTCATAAGAAAGGTATCTAATTAATTTATAGGTACCTTTCTTATGAAATTTTATCAGAAGTGTACATAAAATACTATAATTTTATGTACATTACATTTTACTGTGTTATTTGTATTCCCATTCATTTTATTATTTTGATATTTCATAAGATGATACTGATACTTGTAGGTACCCTTCTCAGTTGAAATTGAAAAATCAAATTAACTTCTCCACACGTGTTTCGCAAAAGTAAAGGCCTTAACAGCAGAGAACAATGCTTAACTCAAATAACGCAACTTAATTGTATTCTGGTTGGTCTTCTGTACTTTATAATTATGGACTGATTATATACACAAAATTACAACTCTTAATTACTGCGGATCTTCTGATTAGTCAAAATGATATAATTTACAACATGCTAAAAATCTATCTCATAGGGACACTTATGAAAGCGGAAAGCTTTTAACTAATTTTATAATTTTTTAACAACTTAAATGTAAAAATCTATTATAATTAAAGAAATAACAAATAACTGTATTAAAAATTCATTTTTCATTGAAAAAATTTTTTGCTTTCAGAAAATATTGTCCATATTCATAAAAAAACAACTAAAAGCATTGAAATTAAATAATACTTCCAGTAATTAAAAAAAACAAAACATGATTTGCATTACTCAAAGCCTTGTGCTTTTAACTATTGTAATCACTAAACTGGATTCGATCGAATTTCTAGAGTTTTCATAAGATTAGTTATGGGGTGGGTAATAAATAAAAAAAAAAAAAAAGTTTTGCCATGACTTTAATAAAAAAAAACAAAACAAAAAAACGTTTATAATAATTTCGATCATCTGTGAATAGTTTCTGAAAGTTTCATTAACATTCAACTGTTATTTTTGCAAGATTTTCCAAATTAATGTGTGTCATACAAAAAAAATGTGCTAAAAAAATTATTTTACTAGTTCTGGTAATACAAAGAGAAACAAGGTTTTTTTTAATCAAAATTTAGAATGTTCTAAAAAGAAGGAAAATTTTTTAAAAATAATTAAAAAAAAAAAAACTCTGGTCTTTCCTCTTCATAATAACAAACATTTAGATGATAAAATTTTGTTTTCGTCAAGTTTGGCGTCTTTTTCATCATACTATGCTCTTTTTTTAGCGATCTCGTGGAGGTACCTACAAAAAGATAACAAATTTAGTTGTAAAAAAGAGAAGCAACATTTACGCGAATAAAAAGTTTTAAATAAACAGTTTACAATTTACAAATTTGACATTTATCATTTATTTATTTATCTTTATTCTGTCAACACATCCTGCCATGACTGATGTCTGTCAAGTTCAAGAGAATTTATTAAACTTAAAAAAAAGTAGTGCTCATGGAAATATCATTCCATGGTAAATTGTTAATTCATTGAATTTTATACTTAAAATATAGTGTAAAATAAAATGTCTAAACCTGATAACTCTCCAAAATTTACATCTTGCCTTCTGTTTGGCCAAAAAAAAAAAAAATGAAACCAAAAATGAAGACCAAAAATGCAAAAAAATCTCAAACGTTTTCTTCTTGCATACAATAACCTTGAAAAACACATTGATTTGGAAATTCTTGCAAAAAATCAAATAATTGTTAGATCTTAATGAAACTTTTGGTATTTATTCACAAATGGATGAAATTATTTTAGCTTTTTTTTTTTTTCTTTTTTTTTTTTTTAATCTTGGTAAAAAAAATTTTTTTTGCTTTGTTACCCTCCCCCCCACTTTCAATAATAATATGAAATTAAATTTTGTAGAGCGTAATATTTATATTAGTTAAAAGCGGAAATTGGAGAATTTCAAATCGTCAATTTCTTTTTGCAAAATGCGACGTCAGTGTTGTGAATCGTAAAATAAAAAATGCAATAAAACTAAGACATTATTAATTAGAAAGGCTTTTAATTGCTTATATGATAAGATGGATACTCTTTTAAAAAAAATTCGATGAATAATGAATTTTTAAAAGAATTGTTTCCATTATTTTTTTTAATTTTATAATTTTTAAAGTTTTAAATCTTTTAAAATTTTGTCTTTGCAGAAGTTAGGTGATATTGTTATTAAGTAAAAGCTATATTTACTAATCATAAAAGCGTAATATCGACCCCCCCCATATTTTAAAAAAGAATTTTGAAATTTGTGTGTATAAATGTGCCGACATTTGTAAATATGGATGTTTATACATAGCATTATCAAAAAAATATGAGCAATAACTAGTAGGTACCGCCATTTGGTCGCGTAAAAAAATAACATAGCATGATGAAAAAAGGCCCCAAATTCAATAAAAACAAAGTTTTGTCATCAAAATGTTTATTGAGAAGAAAGACTAAAGTATTTTTTTTATTATATTTTGAAATTTTTTTTTACTCCTTGTAAATTTTTTCTTTTTATTTTTTTTTCATGCCAGTGGCGGACCAAAGATAAAGGGTTTTTTTTTTTTTTTTGCAGTGAAAAACATTTTGACTCGGAATTTCTTGCAAAATTCAAATAATTGTCGGATTTAATGAAACTTTCAGGACATATTCAGAAATGGGTAAATTTGCTTTTTAATGCCCACGCGCTAAATATCTCTTAAAATTTTACCAAATTGTCATAATTCCATGTAAATGTTCATGCTGAACTCAAATTAACGATTAAATTATGAAGAAACCTACTGTTTTTGGAGTTATCGACAAGAATAAATCAGACTTCTTGTTGGTCGTTCATCCCCCATTACTGCCATAATGTTCACTGATTCAGTGCTGAGTACATCTGGTGGTGCAAGATTAAATTTGGTACTTCCTTTACATAATTTCATTTCTGAGATCAATACGCACTACTGACAGACATGAAAAATAAAAAAAAATGAAGTCCGGACTTTCTCATCAAGTGTTAATCCTCCACATCAAGCAGGGTCTGAAGGGGCCACTTTTTTTTTTTTTTTTTCACACCTTTAACTGATACCAAACAATCTGGACTTTCTCACATCGTGATGAAAAACATAAGCCACGGCAAGCCCTAAAAATGGTCATCACATACTTGTTAAGTGCATGGGGTTTATCTCCACCAGCTAAATGATGACAGTTTATTGTTTTGAGAGTTTTTTTATTGCTTTGTCCAAAGGGGGGCTTGTGTCAAATTTCTTTTAACCCCTATATATATTTGAAATTACAAACATACTTTATCGCATTTTGCGTACGGTTGTTGCTGAAATAAGACGGTGTGCGTGATATTTTGCAACTGTTAACCATAGAGGATATTATTGCTTCCTTGGGCTTGCCCCATGGTTATTTGGATGATTTTTCCATAACCTCTGTAGCCAATGTGGCATTAATTACCAATGAAATTGTATGGTCATTACGGTCAAAATTTT